GTGTTGCTTGGAAAAGTATACGAATTTAAGTGTTCATAACACGAGCTCTCTTTTGATAAGCTGATGGACTCACTGGCTATTCCGTTCTCATAATAAGTATAGATTAGCAGTCTTTGTTTGGTCATGGGCGTGAGTCGCTGAACCGGGCCCACAGGCCTTCGTGCTGAGCGTCCAAATCTACGTGACGATTGATACTGGTCGGGCTAGAGTGCCAGGCCTCGAGGAATTCGCGCGCCTGATTGATGTTTGCGAGGGCAACCACCTCAACTGAAGCGAGGGTCACACTTAAGGGCGTGCGCAAACACCAGTGGCAAGGGGTCACGTCAGTGAATGGCTAACTTGTGTTCGTTGATAAGCGTCCGAAGTTATTGGCCTGCACGGACAACATAAGTACAAGAAAAGCTTGCACACGGAATGCGGTAGATTAAATTTGTCTGCCGTTCTTCAGGGATCCGGTCTTTCACACAGGAAAGTGTGGCGCGCAAGGACGACGCCGGCTTGGGGGTAATAGAGATGACAAACCAGTTTACTTGTTGGCTGGTCGCTTTGGAACTGTTCTACATGTAGGCTGGGGTGTAGAATTTTCGCGTCGCTGGTTCTCCATTAAAGTTATATGTAGTTGTCTCTGGTGTCTGAGATGGGTTTCACAAAGCTGACCAGGTGTCCGTTGGACTGGAATAACCGATACAGGTAGGCGAGTTCTTTTCCAGGTAGCGCATCGCTGTCACAGCAATGGAAAGCCAGATGGGAAAGTGTTTGAACGCAGCTTCCTTTATGAGGTGCGGGGTTTTTTGCTTTCATAGTTAATGTCGCCTTTGGCGCCCTTTCGATAGGCACTCGTTGCGAGACTACCATCCTTAGGTTTTTGAATCATCATGTCTAGGTACTGGAGGATATCTCCTATTTCGTGCTCGTGAGTAAACTGGGTAGCAGGGAGAACGTACTGCGCCGCATGACCTTTGTCCCTTGACTTTTGTCTTCGTAATTGCTGGCAGGCCAGCTTTCTTGCCCACGTAAGTTGATGCCACCCTCGTGGGCACGACGGTAAAGTGGTGTTTCATGCTGATTACGTGGTGCCTGGCCGGCTCCCCTCCCATCTTCCTCTGACCTCAGTTATCTTCCATGCAGAAGTTTGCTCGGTTGTCTTTTTCGCCTTCCTCGAAAAGACTCAAGCCGTGTGCGAAGGGACTTGTAGGTGGGATGCAGGTTTATGGGTATGTT